GCGCCCGGTGCGCGTCCCGGTGCCGCAGCAGGTCCCCGCGCAGGCAGAAGCCGCGGCCGCACTCGGCGCAGCCGTGCCGGGCGCGGTTCCCCCGCCGCAGCTTCTTGTGCGCCAGGAGGCTGCGGCGGTGCCGGAAGGATTTGCCGCAGGTGCCGCACAGGTACGGCGGCTCCGCCCCGCCGCTCGGCCCGCGGGGGAGCGGCCCCGGTACCGGCCGGGGGAGGGCCCCGGCACGGCCCCCCCGCTCGGTGTCGCGGCAGCCCGAGCCCGGTTGCCAGCGTCCCCCGGTGTCATCCTTGCCGTCAGAGCCGCTCCAGGCACCTGCTGGGAACACGGGGTCACCGTGGGACAGTCCCGGAGCCACCGCCGGCACCACGACCACCCCGGGGGGGACCCCCAGCCCAGCCCAGGGGGTGCCACACAGGGGCTCTGCCCAGGGCCAGCCCCTCGTCCCACAGCGGGCCCCCAGCCCCTGGATCCCCGCGGGGTGTCCCCGGTCACTCACAGCTGTCGCTGGTGTCGGTATCTCCGCTGTGCCCCCCAGCGCGGGGAACCCCCCCGTGCGACTCCTCCTTCATGGCGGGGAACTTGGAGTTGGGGTCTGTGAGGGAGAGAGGACCCTCAGTGCCCCCTGGGAGGGTCACGGTCACCGGGAATCCTCACCAGGCCGGGGCCGTGCGGGGTGCCCGGGGCTGATATTCCTCACAGAGACGCACGCAGAAACGGGCTGAGCCCTGCGGGGCCACCGGGCTGCAGACCCCCGGTCAGCCTCCGGACCCCCAGCTCGGCCTCGGAACCCCCGCCGTGCACCCCGACCCCCGGCTGAGCCTCAGACCCCCAGCCAACCCCCCAAACCCCAGCTCAGCCTCCAGCTGTGTCCCCAGCCCGTGGCACCTCCACTCCCGTGGCACCCCCAGTCCTGGGCACCCCCAGCCCGTGGCACCCCCAGCCCCGTGGCACCCCCAGCCCCGTGGCACCCACAGCTCTGGGCACCCAAGTCCCTGGGCACCCCCAGTCCCTGGGCACCCCCACCCCCATGGCAGCCCAAGCTCCGTGTCACCCCTACCCCCATGGCACCCCCAGCCCTGTGGCACCCCGAGCCCCGCGGCACCCCCTGCCCTGTGCCACCCCCAGCCCCAGGGCCCCGTCCCTCACCCAGGCTGGCCACCAGGTCGTAGTTGTCGCCCATGACCTCGCGGTGCAGCGCCCGCTGCCAGGGCGCCAGCTGCGCCCACTCCTCGGGGGAGAAGTGCACGGCCACCTCCTCGAATGTCACCTCGGGGGGCACCCCCTGGCAGGGACAGCGGGGGCTCAGGGGGGCCCCTCGCTGGGCACCCCAGGGGGGTCCCCCCGGCTCTGGGTGCCCGAGCCCCCGCTAATCCCGGCCGGAGGCGTGGGGACAGCCCCGCCACCTGCCCCAGCCCTCGGCAGGGCCCCCCGGAGCCCCCAGCCCCCGGCAGGGCCCCCCGGAGCCCCCCGCACGCCGAGCCCCGCCCGGCCCGGGCTCACCCGCGGCATGGCCGGGCGGGGCGATGGCGGCGGCGGAAGGGGCCGGGCCCGGGAGGCACCGGCAGGGGGCAAGAGCACCGGAACCGGGGGCTGGGGACCCCGGGCGAGGGGCGGCTCTGCCGGTGCGGCGGCGGCTGCAGCGCTGCGTGCCGGGACCCCGCTCCTTCCCCTCCCCGGGGCGGCCGCGGCCCGGCCCCGCTCGCCCCCCCGGCAGCGTCACCCACCCCCCGACGGGGGGGACAATGCCCCCTCTCAGTGTGCCCCCCAAATCCCGAGGAGCCGGCCTGGAGACCCCGGGGATCCGGGAGCCCCGCACCGGAGAAACCCGGCCCCAAGGGTCCCACACCGGGACCCCGTGGTGTCCCCCCCCGGGACAGGGACACCCCCGTGCAGCCCAGACCTCCCAGAACACACCCGGGTGGCACCGGCTGTCCCCTGGCCAGTGGCACAGGGTGTCTGTGTCCCAGTCCGTCCCCCCAGTGACAGCCCCAGCGTGAGACCCCCCCCCTCCATCTGTCCCCAGGGAGCACCGGGGGCGTTGGTGCCACCCCTGAGGATGTGACAGTGACCCGGGGGTCAGCTTGGTGGCCACGCTAATCCTGAGCTCTCACCTGGTGTCCAGGTGGGGTCTGGTGGTCGCAGAGCACATGGGAAGGCTGGCACTGGCTCTGTCACCGTCCCGGTGGCCCCTTGGCCATGGGGTCAGCGCCGTTCCCGGGGCTCAGGCCAGCGCTGAGGCTGCAGAGAGACCCCTGTGTCCCCCCCAGTCCCAGAGAGAGCACCTGGAGCCCCAGAGCCGTCAGAAGCTTTTATTTTAAATAACCTCAAAAAATAGAATTGCAGAGAGCAGAGCTGGGGAGGGGGACCGGAGGGGGACCCCCTGCCCCGCCGGGGCTCCGGGGGCGGCTGTCCCGGTGTTGGTCCCGTCAGAGGATCCGATTCCCTTGGGGATGAAGCAGCGGCAGCTCCCAGCCGTGTCTGTGGCCAAAGCTCTGCCCCAGACCGTGCACCCCGGGGGGACAGGCAGAGGCCACGCCAACCCCAGCAAAGCCCCCCCGTGCCTCTGGAGCCTCCCAGAGCCCCCCACCACCACCACAACCCCAGCTCCAGCTCCAGCCCAGCGGCCACCCATCCCAAATCCGGAATATTGAGTCCCAAAGCGCGCAGTTACCCAGAGCAAGCAGAAGCACAAGCTGCCCCCCATCCCCCCGGCACCGGAGGCGTCTCCGGGCCCCTCTGGAAGCAGAGCCGAGCCCTTCCAGGCCCTTTTCCTGGCTGTTCTCCCAGCGTGCTCCCAGCTCCCCCGCGCGGAGCTGCACTGGGCCCCGGGTCAGCCCGCAGCAGGGCTCCCATCCCAGCCTCAGTGTCCTCAGGGAATGCCATCCAGCCCGGAACAGGCTGGAAGGTTCTGGAAGCAGACAGAGCCCCTCAGGGCTCCTCTTGTCCCAAGTCTGGCTCCAGCGGATGCAGCTCCACTGTGCCCGGCTCTTGCTGGTCTGTGCGGCTGGAGCCCACGGCAGGTCCGACTCCAGCGCTGTCTCCTCCAGCCCTTTGGTGTCTTCCCGAGCCAGGAATGTGCCATGTCCCTGCCTGGCTCTGCTGTGCCCCACAGCCGCGGCTGGAGGCTCCTCCGAGTCCCAGAGCTGAATCCAGCCAGCAGTGTCACCGTGGCACCGAGCCCTCGGCTCTGTCCCCTCGGCTCTGTCCCCTTGGCTCTGTCCCCTCGGGTCTGTCCCTTTGGCTCTGTCCCCTCGGCTCTGTCCCCTCGGATCCGTCCCTCTGGCTCCGTCCCCTCGGCTCCATCTCCTCCAGGCTCACCGCAGGTGACCCCAGGAGCCGAGGGCTGCTCCTTGCTGGGGGTGTCTCAGCGGGGTTCCGGTGAGGGGGGATCACAGGCAGCCGGGGCAGGGTGGGGGTCCTGGTGGGGGGCTCTCAGCGCAGGTCCCAGCGGGGGTCGCAGGCAGCCGGGGCGGTCCCGGGGCTCACAGGCAGCCGGGGCACGGCGCCGGTTTCTCCTCGCCGCACTCGCGCTCCGGCGCTCCCGGCACTCTCTTCTCCTCGAAGGCCCGAGCGCAGCCGCCGGCCTTGGCCCAGAGCTGCCCGCGGGGCGGCTCGGGAGGGCGGGGGGCCAGGCAGGCGGCGCAGCAGCACGGCGGGGGCAGCCCTGGCGCCCGGGGGCTCGGGCCCCCCCCGGGGCACTTACAGGGGGGCACGGGGCCGGCGCAGGGGGCGGCCAGCCCGGCGCCGTGGGTGCGGCGGTGCCGCAGCAGGTGAGCCTTCTGGCTGAAGCCCTTGCCGCAGTCGGCACAGCGGAAGGGCCGCTCCCCGGTGTGCGTCCGCAGGTGCACGGCCAGGTTCACCTTCTGCCGGAAGCGCTTCCCGCACTCGGCGCACGCGTGGGGCCGCTCGGCGCAGCCGTGGGGGCACTCGGCGCACGCGTGGGGGCACTCGGCGCACGCGTGGGGCTGCTCGGCGCAGCCGTGGCGCTCGGCGCAAGCATGAGGATGCTCGGCGCAGGCGTGAGGATGCTCGGCGCAGGCATGAGGATGCTCGGTGCAGGCATGAGGATGCTCGGCGCAGGCGTGAGGACGCTCGGCGCAGCCGTGGGGCTGCTCACACGCGTGGGGCCGCTTGGTGCAGGCGTGGGGCTGCTCGCAGGGGTGCGGACACTCAGCGCAGGGGTGCGGCCGCTCGGCGCAGGGCTGCGGCTGTCCGCAGGCGTGGGGCCGCTCGCAGGCGTGGGGATGCTCCGCGCAGGCCTGGGGATGCTCCGCGCAGGTGCGGCGCTGCTCGCCGCAGGCGCGGAGCCGCTCGGCGCAGCCGTGGGGACGCTCGGCGCAAGCGTGGGGACGCTCGGCGCAGCCGTGGGGACACTTGGCGCAGCCGTGCAGCGGCTCGGCGCAGCCGTGGCCCGGCCGGAGCCCCCCGTGCTCCGCGCACGACTCCCCGCAGAGCGCGCAGGGGAAGGGGCTCGCGGCGGGGTCCGGGGCGCCGGGGGCCGTGCCGGGGGTCCCGGCGTGCACCCGCTGGTGCACCCGCAGGGACAGTTTGCTCTTGAAGCGCTTGGGGCACTCGAGGCAGGTGAAGGGCTGGCGGCCCAGGTGCGTCTTCTGGTGTGCCAGCAGGTTGGGCTTCTGCGCGAAGCGCTTCCCGCACTGGGCGCAGGCGAAGGGGCGCTCGCCCGTGTGCACCCGGTAGTGCGTCACCAGGTTGCCCTTCTGGTTGAAGCGGCGGCCGCAGACGCCGCAGGTGAAGGGCCGCTCACCTGTGTGGATGCGCTGGTGGGTGGCCAGGTTGGTTTTGAGGCTGAAGCGCTTGCCGCAGGTGTCGCAGCGGAAGGGGCCGCGCCCGCCGGGGCCGTGCCCGTGCCGCGGCGGCCGCTCGCACTGCGCCAGGCCCCGCCCGCACTCGGGGCGCCCGGCTCGGCGGGGGGGGCGCCGGGGCACGGCTTGTGCCCCGCGTGGCTCTTCTGGTGGGCGACGAGGGCGAGCCAGAGCCCGAAGCTGTTCCCGCACTGATTGCAGATGAAGGGCTTTTCCGGGGAGAGCACGCCTTCCCCCGGCCCCGGCTGCGCCCCCAGGGGCCCCAGGATAGGGGGGCCGGGGGCGAAGGGCGCGGCGGGCGCCTCGGGGGGCCGCGGCAGGGGCACCTTGGGGCAGAAGCCGTCGCCGCAGTGGGCGCAGGGGAAGGAGGGCTCGCCCGGGGGCGGCGGGGGAAAGCCCTTCTCGGGGCACGGGAACAGCTCGGCGCCCTCGGGGAGCTTCGGGGCGG